TTTTTGGACCCAGGATAAAAACCACAGGATGTGATGTTTGTTTCTGACAGATCCTGTGGGTGTAGCCGGTCGGGTTTCTCAGTATTTGGCCGGAGCGGCTGTTTCTCACCTGTGTCCGATCTCCGAGGCCATGCTGACCTGCAAACACAAGAGGTATGTTCCCCTGAGCATCAGGATCTGACCGGAGATAGGGAACGCTCATCAAACACTTCCTCACTTCCTCTTTGTGTTTGTTGCACAAATGTAGTTTTTCTCCTTTGCTGTAAACCTCCACCACTCGAGTTCTGACCCCTGTAATGGTTCTGCCTTCGGTCTGCTTTCGATTGCTGGACGGTTGGTGCCACTGAGCAAAGCTGTGTTGCAGGAAAGCGCTGCAGCACAGCTGGTACTTTGTCGCTCTGAACCCGTTTATTTATGGTTAAAATCCTCCCATCTGTTCAGAACGATGCGTCCCAAGCAGAAGCCACGCCCTGCTGGCGGTAAAGTTCAGGGTGTACCAGTGAAATAATGTTTTTCTGACAGAGCGCGACAATAACTAAATAAAAACTTGCAGTATTGCATTATTGTGCATAGGTTTGAGTGTCCTTCATCTTTCTTAACTCTTACTTTTCTGTATTCTCCTGTACGTGCCGCCAATTGGCAATAAAAACCTTTGAGTCTTTAACGCACCGAGAGCTGAACGCTTCCTGTTTGCTTTTCAGTCAGGACCAAATCACAGCAGCACCCAGTGGCCATCGTAGGAACTGCAGCAAGAGAAACTTTCATTCATAACGAAACGATCTTCTCACTGTTATCGGTTTATTTTGCTCTTGCTCCACAGCCCCGACGATGACTCCTGCCAGAAGTTTCTTCCTTTTATCGGGGTAAGAAATGCTGCTGTGCTCCTGCGTGTTCCTGTAGGACACATTTAACGGCAAACACGTCGGGTCACGGTATAGCAGAGACAAAGACAGTGCAAAACCTTCAATTAACAGGAAGTGGTCCGAAAAAAAGTCTTTAAACTGATAAATGAATTTCATAAAGTTTCACAGCGAGCTGCATCAGCTCTTCTTTGAACTGTCTGTAAGCTGAGGATGCTGCTGGATGTTAAAGCTGGATTTCAGCTGCTCAGCAGGCTTTGCAATGCTTTCTACCCCCTCAGCTGTAAAAGGCTGATCGGGTGTGCTCGTCCCCCCGCAGGGTGGGCGACCGGATGGTGTGGACTTCACATTGATACCACAGGTGTATCTACTATTTTCAAACAGGTGACAGGTGTGTGCTGCAGGTGGAGTCTTTAAGACAGCATGGTTGAACATGGTGAATGGACTGTAGCGCTTTTCTTCTCTGCTTGAGCACTGTGCTATCGTCTGCTGAATGAAGAGCTGATGGCAGCTTACATCTGGAGCTCTGCTTCAGCATTGATGGACCAACGCTACACCTGCCACGTGCGCTAACATGCTAACGTGCTAACATGCTAACGTGCTAACGTGCTAACATGCTAACATGCTAACGTGCAGCAGCAGGGACGTAAAGCATATTCTGGAATGACAGGTATGTGACGGACATAACAACTGTTTCTGTGCCTGTTCTCAGCTGGTGAAGGTCGGCATCGTGGAGCAGAACTTCATGTCCACCTCAGGTATGCCTGCCCCCCCTCCCCATGCCCTTTGACCTCTGACAGCCTCTGATGTCTTTGTTAAATGTTCCTCTTGCCCCTCCACAGTGGACTCTGATGACATCATACTTGGATCTCCTCCTTCCCAATCAGGAGCACCGATCAACATCACCTCGACACCTCCTCCCTCCCCCTCCACCAGGTACTTCCTGCCTGCAGTTTTTCCCCAGATGAACGCCGTTCCTCTGCGATCAGAGTCGTGATCCTCCTTCTCTTCTGTGCAGCTGTCCCACAGAGGTGATGGGGCTGCAGGTGGACTACTGGAGCAGCCAGGGTGGAGGAGGAGAGCGGAAGAAGGAAATCGGGATGAAGAACACGCTGAAGAGCAACTTCCGCTGTCTGCAGGTGTCGAGGCTCAGCGGAGGAGAGCTGATGAGCATGACGGTGGTGACGAAGGAGAAGAACAAGAAAGGTGAGGAAGAGGAGGATGAGGTTTGAGGTGAAGGTGTTGATGAAGGTGATAATGAAGGTGTGTTTCTCAGTCATATTTCTCAGTAAGAAGGCAAAGGAGAAGGAGGCGGAGTCAAGGAGTCAGCTGATAGAAGGAATCAGCAGGTTGATCTGTACCTCCAAAC